GATGAATTTTTTTTATTTTTAGAAATTTTATTTTTAACAGATTTTAACTGCCAAATTGTTGATATTCCAAAATGTTTAATTCTCCTAAGGAGAAGTTATACTAGTCCATAAAAAAAAACTGTCATTGGTGTTGAACACACCTACCTCTCATTAAAGATCTTACCAAATATGTACTTTTATGCTCCTTCAGAAACCTTACTCTTTTGGATGGATATCTTCTTGAATCAATGGACTGACCCTCCTATTGACCAACAGATGGGGTTCTCAGTTCTCATGTGCTTAAAGAAATGTCCATAGATAGATAAGTGGAATCGAAAAAGGATTAAAGCTTCACTCTGTCCTGAATACTTTATTGCAACTGCACTGTTTTAAGCACTTTACAAACTTGTTCCTTTGTATCCTCTGGTGATGTTACAGCATGACCTATGACACGAGGATCATTATAGATCTCATGATCATTGCCTCCTTTTTCAATTTTATCTCCAAAGAAATGGATTTCTTTGAAATTTTCTTTTTCAAGATAATTAAGGCTGTGTGTCTTATCCCAGCCATTAGGAAAGACATCAAAACTGATCTGCCCTCCTGAAAGGGTAAAGATTTGATATTAACCCACTTTAGATCAAATATGGAAATTTCACTTCAGCGACAATACTCACCTATACTGTAGGTGAAACCCAGGTCAGGAAACTTGCTCTTTAGCTTTTCTATTAATTTAGGGCGGATGCTGTGCTGTTTGTCATACTTTTCAAATGCATTCCTCTCCTCTCTACTGCATGACCGGCCAATGGGAGAAATATTAAGCATCCCAGTTCGAAATTCAACAAATGTTCCCCGCTTCACAGGTAATTCAATTTCAGATAAACACAGCAGAGTGTAATTAATGAATCTTTGAAGACGTTCTTCTCCCACAAAAGACTGGATTGTCTGGAACCAAAAATACAATTGATCAATATTTTGAAACTACGAGGCCACTCAATTTTTAGAGGTTTCCTAGTCCTATTGTTCCACTCACTTGTCTCCCAATTTCAGCACCATTTTTAACAGCCAGTAAACCATTTTCAGAGAAAACAAAGTCAAATTCTTTGAGACCTGAAGGAAGGGAAGGGTTTCTAATTTATAGAACAATTGCCGTGCAAAAAAATAAAAAAGAGCTAACATGATTGCAAGGGACTTACATTGATCACCTCCCATTTGTTCAGCAATTTTACTCTGGTCGGATCCTCCGACCAATCCTATACAGCATTTGGGCTTCACTTCTTCCATAAGGAACTTATAAATATTGGGCTCAACAACCTAATGGTATTGATAAGTAATAAGTAGTTATTATTAATGGATCCAGAGAATGCAATACAGTGATTGAACTTTTACAAATAAAAGTACTCAAAAGTACTTAAATAACATCACATTTTTTTGTATAAGAAAAACCACTTCCAGAAAGGTAATATCTGAATGAACAATATGTCAAGTCAAAACAAATTAAATAGAAATTGTTTAAATCGATGGCAAATAAATACCTTGCGAGGGGCTGTTAAGGTACCATCAACGTCAAACAGACATAAAATGTCACGTGAATGAGACATGTTTGACCGATTTCTCGGAGCCGATCTCAATGTGCCAAAAGCTGTACATGAAATGGTCCTAGAAAGTGCTTGGAAAGCCAGTTTTCCTATCGTTTCCGACCGTAAATCTACACGTCACTACTCAGGGAATCAGTCGGCTGCACCTTTTCTGTCTGCTTGCTGAAAGTAAACAAATCAATGCCAAACAGCCGGAAGTGCCGGAAGCGTGTATAAGTATATGAGAAATTCATACAAAGCAATGATGCCACTTGTAGGTGCCGTAGGAAGATAACTCTCTATGTATTCGTAAGTATAGAACCATTTCTCGTTCAAATTCTTTCGAAGACTTGCTACAGAGTTTTAGATTACAAATAAAACCGAAAAAACGTCACATCTCGTTTGGATAAGTCGATGTATCGACACGTAATCCCTGCGGGAATTTCGAGATGAAACTGCAAATATATATATAGAATCTAGAATCCCCTCCAACCCGACCAGTTGAACACGCAAATCCTATCGTTACTTTTCGTCAGTGCTATAAGGCACCGCGAGATTTGCTATTTTGTGTTGAGGTATGTAATTTGACCTATGATCTCCCTAGCATTACTTTTAGAAATACTACTGTCAAATGTCATTTTCTCATCTTCACGCGTCAAATCGTCAATCACCATTACCATTGTTGTAATACCAGTTATACTTTTCGGTTCACTTAAATACTTCCTCAAGTACACCTGACGGCCTTGAGGTAAAAAGATTAAGCCCCTGGGAATGTATTTAGGTGTGGGGCCTGCTGTGAAAACACATAATTCACGTATTTCGTCAGACGCGGCTAATATGTGCTTTTGCCTATGACTCATTCACTTTGTTATCTCTTCTTTTACAGTTTTGACATTATTATCGTCGTTTGGAGTTCCGTGTCGTCGTCTGTTGGTGAATCTAGAAGATTTTCAAGATGAGTCTACAGTGGACTTTGATTGCCGGTTTTTTATACACTGAAGTGGCAGTAGTCTTGTTACTACTTCTGCCAGGAATTTCACCATCTAGATGGCAGAAAGTCTTTCGGTCAAGAATTTTGAAGGCCTTGTCAAATCAAGCCGGTGTATATTTTACGGTCTTATTGGCTGTACTTTGCCTTTTCCTCTTGGATGCTCTGCGTGAGATGCGAAAGTATTCAGGGGACACTGATGTTAAGCATGAGTCACACCAGCACCTGGATGCTGAAATGCAGACCAACATGCGTCTTTTCAGAGCACAGCGCAATTTCTACATTTCTGGCTTCGCTCTATTTCTGTGGTAAGTTAAAAATTAGCTATCCAGCCTTATAGATATTCAATAGACTCACAAATTTTGCGTTTGATTTTAAAAATGTCATCATGTGCCATGGATTTTGATGATGCAGGCATGACTTATAATGATACAGAATATGTGTCATGTACTAAAATTATACTTTCTTGCAGTTTGGTGATCAAACGTCTTGCCAGCCTGATTTCTACTCAAGCCCAGCTGTCTGCTGACAATGAGGCAGCTCTCAAACAAGCAAGATCTGCTACAACAACAGCAAGGAACATGATGGTTGGGAAAGGAGAGGAAGCCCAAAACAGTTCAAATGAGGTATCTGCTCAGGTCAAGAAACAATTGAAAGAAAAGGAAGATCTTATCTCCAATCTCCAGGAGGAGCTGAACAAGAAAACTCAGGAAGTTAAGGAGCTTAAGTCTGAGAATGAAAAAAAGAAAAAGGTAGGATATCGTACAAAATTAACTTATCAGTTTTTCATGTTGAATTATTTTCTTTGGGATCTGAGGTTACTTATTTATATTTCGTTTTCAGGATCATGATGCAATTCTCTCTCAACAGAAAGGACTGTCCCGAGAGTATGACCGACTTGCTGATGAAAATGCCAAATTACAGAAGCTAATGGATTCTGCAAACAAGAAAGAGGACTGATTTAATGGAAGGAAGAAGGAGGAACTTAAAGAATTATTGTCAAAGGATATGATGTAATTATTGTTAACATGACATTATTCAAGGCAACCTTGTAATTGTGTGATGTAACTATGTTGGATAAATAATGGAGTTATTGGTTTTGATGTAAGAGGTGTTGGACTGACTTTGCCTAATATTTTTGTGATTTTAATGCAGATAGGTTTTACTTTATTATAAACATTATTTCTAATATAAGGCCTATAGTCAGGAACCATGATTGGAAAATGTTCTGTATTCTTTGTCAGCGGATATTTATTTAATTTTGGTTTGTGTTGTTTCTTTTTTTACTTGCTGTACATTTTAATTGCTCTCACAAGTTTTGATGTTACACCATTTTCATTACATTTTTCATGCTTAGTTATTTAGTCTTGTTTTTATCCCTGATCGTTACCCTTCCATGGTTGCATTTAGTTTTGATGTACTTACATCTTGGTTGTAGAGATACAGTATGTTACTGGAATTTGAACAGCTTGGAAAGCCAGTAAGGCTGAGAATCCCTAGCACTTAACCACAAGCATACACTATGCTAAAATACTAGATATAACAGATTAAGTAGGCTTGACCTAGAATTTGTATGGCATTAAGCCCCTGATTAAATGCAAACCAACCCATAATGTTGCTAAATTTGTGAATCTTTCAGCAAATAAAATTTGTGTTTCTTTGTAGCCTGGTGTCAATTGTCTGTTTTTATTTGCCATAAATGATAGTTATAGCTTTTACGATGTTTGGTTTAAGAGGAACGAAGTACACAATCTCACATTTTAAAAAGTTTATTCACATACACCTTGTAAATACAAGGTCAGTTATAGGACGTTACATGTTGTCAGGCTAACTTGTCCCAGTAGTTTTTTGGTAATCAAACCAAGATTATACACTTCCCTTCAATTGATCAGGATATTTGCTCACACTATTTGTAGTGGCATAGCATTGTGCAATGGGGGAAAAAATGCACGCCAATGGTGCACAAATCTCAAACATGCCAAGTTTCACATTTCATGTGACTTAAAGCCACTGTAAAATTAAAATCAAAAGGAATAAGAACTTCTATCTCTATCCACAATTACAATTTTTTAAAATTTCATTGAATTGGTAACGTTGGTATAATAGCAAAGGGATTTTTGTTCCATCTTTTACAATAAAAAGTTAAAATTCATAAAATTCATAGATGCAAATGATACAAAATGTACACCATTCTAGATGTAGTCATTGCTTTAACATTCTTGAAATCACAACAAAAAATGGTAGATGATGATAATGAAATGGAATGAGAAATTAACCACATATGGAACCAGAAAAATTGACAACCAGGCAGCCAATTAAGAGAGCAATCACAGTTGTCAAATAGTTAGGAAAAAAAAATGCAAATTTCATTCTAGAGAGAATTAAAGTCATCTCATGAGCCAAGAGATTCTTGCACTTCACTAATACTAAACATGTCCACAGGAATACTTTCTTCAGCTCTTAACATGTCTTGTCTACAGGCCACAATCCGACAATTTGTCAAAACAATTAAAATAAAGTATTTAAAAAAATTTAAAATATGTTATTCCAGCTTCTTGGGGTTTTCCCATGGGAAGATGTCTCGCCCAAAGTGTCCATAAGAGGCAGTACGCTGGTAAATGGGGTTTCTTAGATTAAGATCACGGACAATCATACCAGGTCGAAGATCAAAGTTCCTCTTTACAATCTTCAGCAACTCTGCCTGAGATTTGTTGCTTGTTCCATAGTCAAAAATGCAAATAGACAAAGGTTCTGCAACTCCAATAGCATATGATACTTGCACCAAACAGCGTCTGATGAAAAAATTAATGACACAAAATTACTACCAAGAAAATACACTCAAATAGAAGTACACAAAATGTAAATAAAAGAAACAATCAAGGTAGTAAAAATCACACATTTCTACTAAGGGTCTTTTACAGTAAATCAATTATTACTAGCTTACCTGCAAAGTTGTGCTTTAACAAGGGATTTAGCTACCCATCTTGCAGCATATGCAGCAGACCTATCGACTTTGGTGAAATCTTTGCCTGAAAAGGCTCCTCCACCATGAGCACCCCAACCACCTGTAATGTTAAAAGTATGCATGTTTAATTCTCCGTCATTACTTTGCAATAGTTTCACTGTCCCCCCCCCCCATTATACCAAATACAAAATTGATTGAATAGCTTCTGTCTCTATTGAGATGGACGTGAATAGTACAGATCAAAATTAAAATTACACATAATACACACCATATGTGTCGACTATGATCTTGCGGCCGGTAAGACCAGCATCACTTTGAGGTCCACCAGTAATAAAGAGACCACAAGGATTCACATGGAAGACAGTCTTTTCATCCAGGTACTTCTCTGGGATAACGACTCTAATAACCTGTGCACAGAAAATAAAACTTATACACATGCATAGACCAATACGAAGTGTTATAATGATTCACTGCACTCACCTTATTCATAATTTCATTTCGTAGTTCTTCTAGACTAATTTTTTCAGAGTGTTGAACTGAAACAACTACAGTGTGTACTCTCTTGGGGATACAAGCTCCATTTTTGGAGTCATATTCACAGGTAACCTGAGTATTCAAAGAAAATTAAGTAACAGTTACTGATATGTATGGAGATGAAACAGTTGACCTGGCACCTAGCCTGGCATACCTGGGTTTTAGAGTCAGGGCGGGCCCACCAGAACTCTCCATTCCTTCGCAGTACAGAAATGCGCTCATTGAGTTGATGGGAAAGGACGGCCGTCAGCGGCATACACTGCTCGGTCTCGTCTGTGGCATACCTACAAGTTTATTAAGCACATTAAAAACAGTTACCAGAGGGTTCTTCCTCAGAAAGGGCAGTTACGAAAGTAGTTGAGAGATGAGATGTATTTCTTAAGGTAGCTAGTAGATTGGTACATGTCCGTTAGAGCACCAGTTTTTAATAATTCGTTGTATTTAAAAATTTAACTTCTCTGAACATTGGTGTGATAATAGAAGGATAAGACACAGAGGCATCTCGCAACTAATCTGTACTTTGAGTCTTATCCATTTATATAGGAGCATATATTTTGTATCATAACATACCCAAACATGAGGCCCTGATCTCCTGCACCAATGTCCTCATCACGGCGCCCAAGATGCACTCCAGCAGCAATCTGCTCAGACTGCTGATCAAGAGCTAATAGTACACTGCATGTTTTGTAATCGAACCCCTTTGAGGAGTCATCATACCTGAAAACAAGAAAAAAAATTAATGCACATTTATCATTTACTCACAAAATGTTTTATAAAATCCTATATGTTTGTGTGAAGTTCTCCACAAGCCAAAGCTAGAGCATTCAGCATAAAATGAGAAAATCAAGTTCTTTTCCTCTCCTTATTACATTAGAATGCAATGAAATCATACAATGCCTGAAAGGGAGGGTAAACTACGTATATAACCTGTTCGATTTTGTCAAAGCTAAATTTAAACAAAAAAATTTAGCAAGCTAATGAACAAAAGTTGTTTCTTTTCCTCGCCTTGTTACACCAAATGCTAAATCCACATTCGGTGCCTGAAAGGGAGGCAAACTCATACAATGCGAAAAAGTTTGAAAAACAATTGTATCAAAGTTCCTAACAGCTATATTAAAATAATCTAGCACAAAGGGAACTCTGGGTTGATTTTCCTCACCTTATTACATCAAAAGCTACAAAAGCAATCGATGCCTGAAAGGGAGGAACACGATTGGCAATTGTAGGCCACAACTACGTCATATAAAATGTTACAAGGTTTAATATTGAAGTGTTTAGTCAGTCAATTACTCTATTGTAATACAATTAAATACTGTAATACTAAAATAATATTTCAGAGTTGTTACAGGTTCCGGATTTTCAATTTTACTGACTTTTCCCTGACCAAAATCGCGATTTTTACTGACTTTTTAGGCAAGAAAGTAGGCAGTACTCCAACAATGGTAGGGAAAATATCACCGAAAACAAGAGTATGCACAAAAGCAGCCGCTGCTGCAGCTCAAGCGTCAATTTTGCGCATTTTCACTCATTCGTTTGCAAGGAAGCAGTCAACCGGAGAAATTTTACTGACTGCTCTCTCAATTTTCCTGACTTTCCCTGACCCATTTTCTAATTACTGACTTTCACGGTCTGTAACAACCCTGTATTTGAACATGTTTGCCAACAAATTTGAAAATGAACTACTAAGTATTATGTTGAATGTTTGACTAAGAGAGATGTAAGAATTCAAAGTATATTTTTAACAACCTTTGTTTAAAACTGTTTTGTGATTGAGTACTCACCCAATATGCTTGATTGTGTCTCTGACTATCTTCTGGTAATCCACATTGGCCTTAGAATTAATTTCACCACAGAGCAATACCATTCCAGTTTTAATAACAGACTCGCAGGCAACTTTAGCATTTGGGTCTTGTTTTAAGTGAGCATCTAGTACGGCATCACTGAAATAAAAATATTATCAAGGAGGAGCATTGATGGTGATAAGCAGAAAATTGAGCAGCAATCTTACCTGATCTGGTCACACATTTTGTCCGGGTGGCCCTCTCCAACAGACTCTGAACTGAAGAGAAAGGTTTCACCCTCATTCATCTCTGCATCGGAGTGTCCGTTCATGTAACCATTCTTCATTGTGTCAGGCATTTTGACTTTTGGTCCAAGACTGCGAGTCACAAAGTTCACAATTTCAGGAAAAAAGTGAAGTGGTCCCTGATGGTTCGGCACAAGAGAGGTGGCTCTTGAAATGTGCTTGAGCAGAAGCGGTAAAAAGCGGAGAATTTTGAATCAGTATCTGTAACACAAAATAGCAAATGACCAACCAATACACAAAAGACAAACACAGTGAGAACTGACATTTCCTAACAAAATATAGCCCGCACCCACAATCCTAAGCTTCCTCTTAGTCGGACAGCCTTTCAAGCTGTAACTCCAACAGCTGACTGAGGGTCTTCAGCCCACTCAGTGGAGATACATAGGCGGGCCAACTGCCTCCCCTCTCCCTCCCTCCCTCCCCATATCTCCTTGGTACTCAAGGCCACACATCTGCATCTCAAATGCCACAATGCTAGCTGATAGCAATCTGGACTGGAAGGGGAACTGTAGTACAGTCACCTTCCTAACTTGGTTTTCTGTACTTCAAGTTACAAGACCCCCCCCGACAGATAGAGGAATGAAGCAATGATGAGCAATACAAAGACAAAAATATGAAGTCTTGAATGGCAGTGGAGTTGGGAGACGATATTACATCCGAAACCTAACATCTAGTGAACTAGTTAGGGAATTTTTAAATCAAGGGACTGCGCACACTTAAATAATACTTAAAGACAAAACAAATAAAAAAGGTTGACAAAGGAACAAACAAATTCAATACTGAATGCAAAAGATGTAAAGATACAAATGCAAACAACAGCTCAATTCCAAGGAGAGTAACAGCTCCACAGATCAAACTAAGTATAAAGAGAGTGTCATCTTACATGATCTTCACCACTACAGATAATTACGCTCACAGAATGAGTTTCATGAATGAAAAGTGAAGGGACCCAGTGTACAAAGCACTAAAAGCAAAATACATCAAAGAATAAACGCCATCTTGGCCTTCAAAACAATCACACAATAAAGAAATGCCGAAATTGATTCGCAAACCACGGAGGTGAGGTTTGAAGCAACTTGAATTGAGAACAAAGAAAGGCGGCGTATAAAAGCCTGCGCTTGGAAAATGAAAGGAGAAACAAACACCAACAACAAAGCAGACAAGTTTGGCGCGCTGCACACTTCACACGTGATAACTACGACGCGGAGCGGCGCGCAGCGCAGAAATCAGCATGCGCAAAACGCGCTCAGCTGATCGGACTCTAAACAGAGTAAGGATTGGATGGTCAACAACAGAAAATGACGCGTCTCCGCAACGAAACATGCCAACTGGGATGCACTTGGTCCAGGCAGAGTCGCGGTTGTGAAGGAGTTCACATCTCCCAAGTCAACCACGTTTTCTCCCAACACACATGCCACCCGATAACCTATGAGAGGGTGCAAGCAGAATGTGCACTCCGCTTAAAGTGCATTTCGTGCTCTTGCGGTGGATGCCGTGCGATCCCATCTGTCACAGGACGTAGTGGACGCACTTAGGAAAGAAAATACACCGTAATCACCTCGGTTAAGCGAGCAGAAGCGTTGCCGTTCACTTCAGACAGTCGCCGCGGATACTGAAACAAGTTGTCCCGACGCCATGAGCTCCGAAAGGACACGAGCGGAGCGAGCTGTGACGGGCCTCGAGTGGCCTGGCCCCAGAGCCACTGTGGCCACCATACGGGCGCTTAAAATCCCACTGCGCAAGACTCCGAGTGGGAGTGTAGAAAGGCCCAGATGGACTTGCGGGTTTTGAATTATACTCACTTCGTTCATTTCAAGTTTAAAGAGATGCTGGGACGGTGTGCTGTTCGCAAATGAATTACATTATATCCAAAAAGTATCGATTTCCAGACGCTCTTCGCGGTGCCAACCTATGCATACCAGGACCGATCGTGTTAGCTCCATATCTTACATTTTGGATTATCTGTTTGGCAAAAAATAAACTATCAGCCTATTAACATCAGTTTTAAAAGCACTACTCCTACAGACTTTTGTGTGTCGCCATTTCAGACCGGTAAAGAAGATTCATCGGAGGCTGTCAGCACACTGCGGTTTTAAGTTGTGGCGCGCATTTCAAAATTTCGCGCGGGCCTTTGCCTGGGCGGGATATGCGTGGCGGGTGGCAAGGGCGGGCAAAAGAACGCTGATGTCAAAGCGGGCACCGGAAAGCAAAGGCGCAGATTCGAGTCGAGTGCGCATCGATCGAAAAAGTAGGTCATACCGACAAACCACCACACACCAGCTTGTTGCGATGTCTTTGCTTTTTACGCGCGTGTGTGTGCCTACAGTAAACGGATACGCGCGCGCGCGCATGTGTGTGTGTGTGTGTGTGTGTGTGTGTGTGTAGGTGTGTGTAGGTGTGTGTAGGTGTGTGTAGGTGTGTGTAGGTGTGTGTGTAGGTGTGTGTGTGTGTGTGTGTAACGTCGTTCCGAATCACCCAACAAGGTGCTCCCGCCACCGCACCCCGGGGGAGGAAGGCTAAAACAGATCGTGCATTTTAAGCGCTCTGGGTGGGGGGGGGGACCTTTCGACCTTTACCCTCTTATCTGCTTCCGGACTTCCCTCCGACCTGAGGAGGGAGCAGAGCGCTATGTTTAGGAGCGCCCTCGCCGCCAGAGCGTTGGGCGCTCCCCTTTCCTCACCATTCTCACCTGCGAGAACATAGCTATGCTACTGTAAAGTCATTCGTTTCGTCGTGTCGCAGGCCGTTTGTTTTCAAAAGCGTTTAACATCGCATCGAGAGAGAGAGAGAGAGCATGATGACACGGCACTATTACTTGTCGCATTATCAGGAGAGAAGAGGGCGCTCGCGCGCGCTTCTGACGAAGGCGGACTGGACACTTCTATATTCCCGCGTGGATTGTCATCACGGCTGTCGTCATCGTGCGCGGCCACTCCAAACGGGACGCGGGCGGGCTCAATGAGTTCGGCGTAGGCCACTCCAAGCCAAGCCACGCCACGCCAAGCCACGCCACGCAACGAGCGATTCGTGGGCCGCATCCGGAAATATGCCTGCGAAAGCCCTGCCGACAAGACGGCACCCACGCCTTTCCTTACTACTGCTACCGCAACCGGCCCCCTCTCTCCCTCCCTCTCCTCTAATTACCTCAGACGACGTCGTCTGATGGGTCCTCGCACCCTCCCCCTCACGCAGCCCTCAGACACGGCGCGGAAGGGAGAGG